GGGTGGAGAATATTATACTAGATGATAGGTAATCAATTCTTAAAATTTCTCAACTCAACGTTTTTTTATTAAAGTATCTTAATCATTTATCTAAATTTATTCCTACCATTCCTAAATTATTTTTCTAAAGGTTGGGCTTAACCCTATTGGGTTAGTAATGATATTTTAACACTCCCCTCGCACTACGCTCTAATAAAATGTGTAAGTATTCAGCTCTTTTGTAGACAAGTCTACCACTTGGTCATTCGTATTCTTCCTTCAAGACTTTGTCTCTAATAAAATGGCAGTGTATCTCCACAGGCTTTGTTCTGCCATGAAACATCAAATTTTCTACTAAACGAATCATAGATTGGTTGTCGCATGGAAGTGGTATCGAATAGTCAACTTTCTGGTGCCAATCTTTCAGCAGAAGTTTCAGCCATGTATATTCCTGAGCTGCTCTCGCCGCTGCTTTATACTCTGCTTCTCTAGTTGACAATGATCCAGTTGGTTATCTTTTATTACACCAAGAAATTGGTCTCGAACTAAGCTTGAACACATACCCGGTGCTTGACCTTCGAGTATCGTAATATCGTTTGACATATCTCAAGGTCCGTCGGGCCGCATCCAAATGAGGCTTCTTTAGACTTCGCATATACGGACTAATGACTCCAACTTCATTTCTGAATCCATTTGGTTGGTTCATGTAGATCTCCTATCCAACTCTCCATGCAAGAAAATATTCTTCATATCCATTTGCCAAAATTTCCAATATTTATTTATCACAAGTACTGGAGGAACTTATATGATAGTTATCTTTGCCACTAGACAAAACGTTTTATCATAGTCTAGTTCATATTCTTGAGAGAACCCTCAAGCTACATATTGAGTCTTGTATCTTTTGATTGATCCATCCAAGAGACACATTATTTCGTAAGCCCACTTGCAAGAGATGAATTTGACATCTTCTGGTCTTGGTATTAGTTCCCAAGTTTGATTTTGCTCCAGGGCTATAATTTCTTCCTCCATCGCTTTCTCCCAAGCTAGAGTTTTGTGATACTTCTTCATATGTCTCCACCTCATTAACTTCGTCTTCTACTGCATTGGCATACTCTGGATTTGGCTTTATGATTATTTTTTAATGTCTGAGTTGTTGAGGTGTCATTTCATTTTCATTAGGTTTGCTTGGTTGAGTCACTTCTTGTTCACCAACACTAGTGTCACTTGAATCTTCAGGCACATCAGCACTTAAGCAAATGTGTACAGTTTGCTCCCCCGTCTTCTGTGGAAGAAACTCTTCAGTTTGCTCCCCCGTGTTCTGTAGAAGAATTTCTTAAGTTTGCTCAAGGCCGGGTAATACTTCCTTCTCTGAGGGCAACTCCTCTTCCATTGCACCACTTTGATCATCAATCATGTGGTTTGAGCATCCTGAATCAATGATCAAATCATTCTCATAATTGATATGGTCTCCCATCATTGCCATGAGTGCTAACTCATCTTCTTCTATGCCATAGAGTACCTCAGCATCCCATTCCTCCTCCATCTCCATGTTGGAGGATGCCACATTGCTTTCGACAGATTTTTTCTTGGACCAACAATCTCTGGACAGGTGACCCTTTTTCCCGCAATTGTAGCAAATGCTCTCAAATCTTTTTCTTTGAGAACTTTGGTTGTCATTCTTTTGAGTTCTCTCAGGTTATGCAGTTCCTTGGTGACTTATTCTTTTGTCACCATTGTATCCACGTTCGGTAGACGACCTATTATTGCTCCGACTTTCACTTGTGTAGAGTGCTTCTTCTTCACCCTTCAATGTGATGCCTCCCATTTGTTTAGCCATAGCTTCTTAGCTGGCAAACAAATTTTCGAACTCTACAAGTGATGGTTGAGTGGACCATCCTTGTACAATAATGAAGCTTCGATAGTCTGGTCGCAATCCGTGGATTATGATCATCTTCATTCGATCTTCTCCAATTGCGGACTTTGGGTCAGTTCAGTAATCCCCCGACAAATCGACTTACCTTATGGAAGTACTGAGCAATTGTCATGTTATGCAATTGACAACAACTCGTTCTCTAGAAGTTGTAGTCTCGTATCGTTCTTCTTTGAGAACAACATCACAAACGTGTCCCGTGCTTCTTTCGGTGTCTTGTCATCCCAAATATGCTCTAACATCCTTTCTTCGATTGTGGTCTTCAGGGCAAACATTGCTTTGCTTGCTTTGATTCTCCATTTGCGCAAGGCGCCGTTAGAATCATCCTCTGGCGGTCTAGTTTTGCGCCCGCCAACGATCTCCCAAAGATGATGTCCTTGTAAACAGGACATCATGCATGTTGCCACGTGTTGTAGTTGTTGTTGTTGAGTTTCTTGATTCTTCCAACGATTTGGAAATCGCCCATCGGGTTGGCTATACCTCAGTAATACCAAACAAGTTCTTTCAACACAAGACTTGTAGAGTCACAGACTACTCACGACACAAAAGAAACTCACTCACTACTAATATCAAGAAATCGTTTCTGATGTGGAAGATCAAACAAAGCTATAACCACAAAGCATATTAAAAATTCCAAGAGATCAGATAACCTACACTAACCTCGGTTTGATACCAGATTGTTGAACACAACTCGGGAAACACTCGCACACCTTATTAAGACCAATCGAGAAGAGATTTACAAAACACTCTAGAAACTACTACACTCTAGATAGGGTGGAGAGTATTTATAATCATGATAGGTAATCCATTTCCTAAAATTTCTCAACGTTTTTAGAGTATCTAAATTATTTACAACGTTTTTAGAGTATCTAAATTATTTACCTAAATTTATTCCTAAAATTCCTAAATCATTTTCCTAAATTTATTCCTAAAATCTTAAATCATTTTTCTTAAATTATTAGATCATTTGGCTTAACACTGTTATGCCAGTGATATTTTAACATTAATTACACGGTAAGCTAAGCTAGTGGCAGTGAATTGAATCAACGATAATTAACTAACTAAATCAGCTAGCTAGAATGAAGAAATTAGTAGTAATGCGTGTGTGTAAATGATACTAACCGAGAGCCACGTCTTTCCCCAAGAGGGTATGTAGGTGACACTACCATGATCAAGAATCCACTTGCGGCCTCTAACACAAGCATTGTTGAGACCACCATCTGGGTCCTCTCCAAGAATACGCATACAGATATAGCTGAGAGCAGTGCAGAACATGGTGCTATGGCCCTCTATATGCAATCCCCACCCACCATCTTTGTTTTGATGGCAGTATATGTATCTAAGTATTTCTTTCTTGTGTTCTTCAGGGAATACTTGGTCCAAATGTCCTGTTATGTATAAACACATTACCTGCACACTCCCTTCATTCATTTCAATTCCATTTCCGATTCCATTTCCATATCCTGGCACCTACAGATTTATACTCACCAGCGGTGGAAGGAAGAACAAAGGTCCTGCGTTTTCAGCCGGCCAGTGTCCATCACTTGCTTGCAACGCTGAGTAGAAGTGAACTGCTCTTCTCAATGCTATCCTCGCCTTGTCTTGTGATATTTCCTCCCCCTCCTTTATCTTTACTGCACCAATTTCTTGTTTGAACTTCTTCTCCCTCAGGAACTACCAATTGTTTAAATACATTTTGTATCATCTTCCGAAACATCATAACTCAACCAAAATTGGAAGGTTTCATATATAGATTCCAAAATTTTGGCCTCCATAAAAAAAAGTTGTAGCCCCATCCGCGGAGCTACGATCAGTGTAGTGAGGGAAGGTAAAGTGTGAAGTTAAGAAGGCATTAGTTTATTTACTTACTTGCATTCGCCAAAGGCAGTCGGCACTAGGCTTGACTTTGTAGCGATTCCGGTAGAAATGAAGGCGAGCCTCTTCTACTTCTTGTCTCTCTTCCGGTGTCCCTGCTTCCGGATCGAATTCCCAAGTTTGTCTCCCTATGAAGTCATTTGTGCTGTATATGTAGGGGTCATTCCCTCCATCCGCAATCTTAAGCCGCCACATACTTGTTTTTTACTTCCGGATCCGCGTTTTGTGTCTGAGCTAGCTCTTCATATGAAGACATGAACCATGGTTATTTCGGAGGAAACCAGGTATGATGATGAAACGAAACCACTCTCGCATACAAATTAGTGCTGTTCAATAATAGACGCAAGGGATTTAAGACGAAAATGGCAGTAGATGAGTGGATAATAAGTTGTTATACAGTTGCGTAAAGCAAACAGTGAGGCAATCAGAAAAATGAAAGTACGAGGTGGAAGTTAGATTCTTAATTATATATAAGGTGATAGGTGGTTCAACAATTTAAGAGGTCAGTTTGGAGAAAATAAGGAGGAAAAGGAGTTGTAGTTAAGGGTAGTGGATCGGGAATGGAATGCATCAAGGGGAGGGTTGGTTGGGGTGTTCGATGACATTTATGACTGGAGCCTCACCAGTCACAAGTTTTGTGTTTCTCAACGCTCTCTAAACTAATCCGTACATAAAAACATGTGGATGACACTGCCCACACAACTGAAGATACAAGAACGATACTAATTCATTTTTCCACGCAACATTTTTCCTTCCCTTACTCCTCTTCCTCCAGCTCCATGCTCTAGCGCCCCATCCCTACTCATTGCTGTGCCTTCCCCCTCTTCGTAGTTCGTATTAGGGGTTGGTCCTTCTTTCCTCAAATTTTGGCTCACCCATAAATCTATCGTGGGTTTTTTTTTTTTAAATCAAGGATGCCTACGAATTTAAATCTCCAACTCCTCATCTTGTTTTATTCAACTAATAAAATATTTATCAACAAGTTAGATGCTTAATTTATTTTTTAAAATATAATTTATATTTAAAAAATGTAAAACATCTTTATTGCCTTAATTTACACATTTGCACACAAATATATATGTACGCACTGCCTAGTGCCTAATCCCTATAATATTCTACAAAGTTGTTTTTGCTCCAACTTGAATATAGATCCAAAGTTTGTGAGAAGAAAAAGTGAGAATGACTCTATTTATAAAAAAAATAAGGTAAACATCCATGTTCTGAATTTAATTTATCAACAAAGGACTTCCTATTTGAACATACACGTTCTGAATTCAATTTATCAACAAAGGGCTATGCTATGGGCGAAAAAGTTGTATTGTATTAAGCAGCAGCAGCAGAATAATAGAACAACTGAATTGCTGAATAAGCAGCTAGCGGAAAAATGAATAAGGGAAAGTTAAAGAAGGAAAATGCCTTGGTTGCTCTGCAGTGTGGGGGTAGACAAGGCATTTGGTTCAAAATGAAGAGCCACAACCTACTCCCCCGATTCAATCCTCATTTTACTCTTGAATCAATAACCTTCTTGGCGAAAGATGGCAAACAGAAAGCTGCTGTGTGAATCTGGATTTCAAATTTATGATTCTAATCAAATGAGGATTGGAAAATCTTTTTTCAAAAACAAAAACGCCCAACAAGATTATGGTACACACCTCAGAATTGTAAAATCTCAAGGGCCCTCTAGACTTGTTGTTAATATCATTAACATCGATTGAATTTATCGGGTGTTTGAAATCAACAGCAGGTCCTGTTAGGAATCACGACTCTCCACAATGTTGAACACAACTCACTGTGGGAAACACTCGCTCTCTTTATTAAGACCAATCGAGAAGAGAATACAAGACACTCTGTAGAATACTTCTGCTTTTTATTGTTTTTAGATTTCTTGGATGAATAACCTAGGTAGGGTGGGGTATTTATACTAAGAGTAAACAATCTATATTTAACCAATCTAAATCTAGACCTAACCGATTTGAATCTAGACCTAACAAATTGAATCTTTCTCCTAAAATATCTACATCTCTTTCTCCTAAAATCTCTACTAAAATAAATATACTGGGCTCGTACAATTAGGCTTGACTCTATTGGGCTAGTACAATTATTGGGCTTGACTCTATTGGGCTAGTGATGATATTTCAACACTCCCCCTCAGCACTAGTCCTCATTCGCTGCATCATGTTGAGCTGACAGCGAAAGCTCTCATGTTTGCTAGTATTCAACCCTTTTGTAAACAAGTCTGCCACTTGGTCATCTGTCTTGATCTGCTGCATCTCGATTTCTTCCTTTAGGACCTTCTCTCTAATGAAATGGTAGTGCACCTCCACAAGCTTTGTTCTAGCACGAAACACCGGATTTTCTGCTAGGCGAATCGCAGATTGGTTGTCGCAATGAAGTGGTATTGGATACTCAATTTTCTGGTGCCAATCTTCCATCAAAAGTTTTAACCATGTATTTTCCTGAGCTGCTCTATACTCTGCTTCTGTAGTTGATAATGATACTGTTGGTTGTCTCTTGCTACACCAAGAAATTGTTCCCGAACCAAACTTGAACACATACCCAGTGGTTGGCCTCCAAGTATCATGGTCTCCTGCATAGTCAGCATCACTATATCCAGCTAGCTTCCAGTCTTTGCTTCTTTTGTATAAACGATCGTAATTGATTGTACCTTTGACATATCTCAAGGTTCGTCGAGACGCATCCAAATGAGCCTTCTTCGGATTTTGCATATATTGATCAATGACACCAACTTTATTTTCGAATTTCTTCGATTGGTTCATGTAGAACTCTCTGTTTAACTCTCCATGCAAGAAAGCATTATTCATATCCATCTGCCATAATTTCCAATCTTTATTTACCGTAAGTACTGGAGGAACTTGTACGATAATGATCTTTGCCATTGGACTAAACGTTTCATCATAGTCTAGTCCATATTCTTTAGAGAACCCTGAATCTATAGTCTGAGCTTTGTATCTCACGATTGATCCATCCGGGGTACACATTATTTCGTAAGCCCACTTGCAAGAGATGAGTTTGGTATCTCTTGGTCTTGGCACTAATTCCCAAGTCTGATTTTGTTCCAGGGCTATAGTTTCTTCCTCCATCGCTTTCTGCCAAGCTGAGTTTTGTGATGCTTCTTCATATGTCTCCGGCTCATTAACTTCGTCTTCTACTGCGTTGGCACACTCTGGATTTGCCTTTAGGATTATTTCTGAATGTCTGAGTTGTTGAGGTGTCATTTCATTTTCACTAGGCTCGCTTGGTTGAGTCACTTCTTGCTCACCAACACTAGTGTCACTTGAATCTTCAGGCATATCAGCACTTAAGCAAATGTGCACAATTTGCTCCACCGTCTTTTGTGGAAGAATCTCTTCAGTTTGCTCCCTCGTGTTCTGTAGAAGAATTTCTTCAATTTGCTCAAGGTGTGGTAATACTTCCTTCTCTAAGGGCCACCCATCTTCCATTGCACCACTTTGATCGTCAATCATGTGGTTTAAGCATCTGGAATCAATAATCCAGTCATCCTCATAATCGATATGCTCTTCCATCATTGCCATGAGTGCTAGCTCGTCTTCTACTATTGGACATAGCACCTCTGCATCCCATTCATCCTCTATCTTCTTTTTGGATATTGCCACATTGCTTTCAACCGACTTTTTCCTGGACCAACAATCTCTAGACATGTGGCCCTTTTTCCTGCAATTATAGCAAATACCTTCAAATCTCTTTCCTTGGAAACTCTTGTTGTCGTTCTTCTCAGCTCTCTCAGGTTGTGCAGTTCCTTGGTGGCTTCTTCTTTTGTCACCATTGTATCCACGTTTGGTAGACGGCCTATTATTGCTCCGACTTTCACTCGTGTAGAGTGCTTCTTCTTCACCCTTCAATGTGAAGCCTCCCATTTGTTTAGCCATGGCTTCTTGGCTGGCTAACAAATTTTCGAACTCTACAAGTGTTGGTTGAGTGGGCCAT